ATCGGGGCCCCTCAGCTGGGGGTTTGGGGTCTGGGCAGGCCACACGCTCCAGAGTGCGGACAGGCAGTCTGGGTCCCAGGCGTTACCCGTGACCTCGGGTGACTGGTGTCTGGGTTCTCCTATTGTAGGAATAAGAGGAACCTGCCGTGTCTTCACGAGGCTGACCCAGGATGTGGGGGCACCCAGGAAGGGCCCCGGCGGCCCCTTGGCCCTCTGCCCTGTGGGTAGCCGGGGGTCTCCTGGGCAGTGCCTGCCTGGAGGCACGTGGCTGTGGGAAGCTGGGCAGTTCCCTGCGGGGGTCTTCCAGGCCTGGTCAGAGGCACCTCGGAGGGGCAGTCGAGGAGCCAGGAATCAAAATACCAGGGGCAGGGGTTTGTCCTGACCCGTGACGGCTGCCCTCTGGCCAGGGAGGCTCTGGGTGTGGGGGCTAGGTCACACGGAGCCAAGTGGGGACCAGACAAATGCCTGCCCCTTCTGCAGAGCCGTGAAGGGTGGCTGGTGGTGGCCGAGTCCGTTGGGGTCACCTTGGCAAGACTGTTGCAGCCACCAGGGGTGAGGCACGCAGACCACTTTGTGGTCGTGAAAGGTCTCGGGAACCCTGGACCCGAATCAAGCCTGAGAAGGGCTCCTCGCCTTTGCCGAGAGAGGAGCACCCCGGCCTGGCCCCCACGCTGACGCCCCCCTCACTGCCCACCCCACTCCTGTTCTGTCGTGCCCCTGGCCCTCAGGGAGACTGCGCAGGGTGCTGGACACAGACCTGGCGGAGGGGTGCCCTGGAGCTGGGGGGCCTCCCGTCCCGGGTAGGGTTTAGCATCCTAACTCTGGAATATCAGTGTCAGACCGGAAGCCTTATTTTTTTTTAATTGAGGTATAATTGACAGATTATATTAGTTTTAGGTGTGCAGCATCACGATTATGTATCTGTGTATATTGTGAGATGATCACCACAGTTAAGTCTAGTTAACATCCGTCACCTTACAGAATTACCGGATTTTTTTTCTCGTGGTGAGAACTCTGAAGAAGGACTCTCCACCAGCTGTCACACACAACAGGGCATCGGTAACCAGAGTCCCGTGTCGTACACTGCACCCCGTGACCTGGTTTGTAAGTGGGAGTTGGTGCCTTTTGCCTCCCTTTGTGGCGTCCACTCCTGGACCTCCATCTCTGGCAACCACGTTCATCTGTTCTACCAGTTCAATTTTTTTTTTAAGATTCCACATATATATGAGATCATACGTTTGGCTCTCTGTCCTAACACCCCCTTAGGTAAGCCGAGCTGTCACAAACGGCAGGTTTCATTGTTTAAACGGCTGAGTAATATTCCACTTAGGAATAAGCTCCCCTGGTGGCTCAGCTGGTAAAGAATCTGCTTGCAGTGTGGGAGACCTGGGTTTGATCCCTGGGTTGGGAAGATCCCCTGGAGAAGGGAATGGCTACCCACTCCAGTATTCTGGTCTGGAGAGTTCCATGAACTGTATAGTCCATGGGGTTGCAGAGAGTCATGTCTGACTCTCAGTATCCCACTGTGTGTATATTCCAACTTTCACTCTCAGTATCCCACTGTGTGTATATACCACATCTTTACCCACTCAGCTGTCCACGGGCACTTAGGTTGCTTCTATATCTCGGCTGCTCTAAACAATGCTGCCGTGAGCTCAAGGAGTGCAGATATCTTTCTGAGTCAGTGTTTTCATCTTCTTCAGAAAAACACCCACGAGGAGAGCTGCGGGATTGTATGGCAGGTCCGTGTTTATTTTCTGAGGCATCTGCACAGTTTTCTGTGGAGGCTGCACCCATTCACAGCAGTGCGTCAGGGTCCTCTGCCCACCCCGTGCCGACCTTCGGCGTCTGTCGTCTTTCACATGATTTTAACTCTTTGGCTGTGCTGGGCCTTCTCTTGGAGGGGCTGCTCTCTCTCTGTGTGCCTGCGCTTCTCACTGCAGTGGCTTCTCTTGTTGTTTAGCATGTCTTGCGGGAGTGCAGGTTTCCGCAGTCGCGGCTGGGGGCTCAGGAGTTGAGGCTGTCGGGCTTAGTTGGTCCGTGGCACGCGGGATCTCCCCAGACCAGGGATGGAACCCCCGTCTCCTGCATTGGGAGGCGGATTCTTTACCCCTGAGCCACCAGGGAAAGCCTGTGAGTGTGGGTTTGTTCTGATCTCTGTTCTGTCCCACTGATCTGTGTGTCTGTTTTATACCAGCACCACTGTCCTTGTTCAGCTGCTACGTTGTGTCCGACTGTTTGTGACCCCAGGGACTGCAGCACGCCAGGCTTCCCTGTCCTTCACTATCTCCTGAGTTTGCTGAAACTCATGTCCATTGAGTCAGTGATGCCATCCAACCATCTCATCCTCTGTCGTCCCCTTCTCCTCCTGCCTTCAATCTTTCCCAGCATCAGGGTCTTTTCCAATGAGTCAGTTCTTCGCATGAGGTGTCCAATGTTTACCAGTCCTTCCAATGAACACCCAGGACTGATCTCCTTTAGGATGGACTGTTGGATCTCCTTGCAGTCCGAGGGACTCTCAAGACTTTTCTAGCACTACAGTTCAAAAGCATCAGTTCTTCAATGCTCAGCCTTCTTTATGGTCTGACTCTTACACGACTACTGGAAAAACCATAGCTTTGACGAGACGGACTTTTGTCAGCAAAGTGATGTCTCTGCTTTTTAACATGCTGTCTAGGTTGCTCATAGCTTTTCTTCCAAGGAGCAAGCGCCTTTTAATTTCATGGCTGTGGTCACCACCTGCAGTGATTTTGGAGCCCAAGAAAATAAAGCGTGTCACTGTTTCCATTGTTTCCCCATCTATTTGCCATGAAGTGATGGGACTGAGTCATGATCTTAGTTCTCTGAATGTTGAGTTTTAAGCCAGCTTTTTCACTCTCCTCTTTCACTTTCATCAAGAGGCTCTTTAGTTCTTCTTCACCTTCTGCCATAAGGGTGGTGTCATCTGCATATCTGAGGTTATTGATATTTCTCCCAGCAATCTTGATTCCAGCTTGTGCTTCATCCAGCCTGGCATTTCACATGATGTATTTTGCATATAAGTTAAATAAGCAGGGTGACAATATATGGTCCTGTCATACTCCTTTCCCAATTTGGAACCAGTCCATTGTTCCACGTCTGGTTCTGTGTCCATCGACAGGGACCCGGTTAAGGTCCTGAGAAAAGCCCAAGGCGGGGAGTAAGGAGCTGGGGGTGGGGCGGGCCCAGCCTGGCAGCCTTCTGTGGGCTCACGTGAGACCCCTTGGCCAGGGCCTGGGAGGAGGTCACGCAGCTCATCTCTGGGGAGGGGGTCTGCAAAGTGGGGGTAGGGAGAGAAGTGTCACCAAGACGCAGGCGTGTCTCACGTTGGAGGGGACGAGGGTGCTCCCTGGGGCCTCTCCTGTAAAGGCACTGAGCCCCTTCATAAGGACCCCACCTCGTGACCTGATCATCTCCCCAAGGCCCCACCTCTGGGTAAATCTCCTTGGGAGTTAGGTTCCAACGTGGAGGTTTTGGGGACACCCTAAGTGGCTCGCTTTAGGAAAGAGGAGTGCTGGGGGACCCTGCATTCGTGAGCGGGCGCGGGTCCCCAGCACTTGTGGGGAAGCCCGCCGAGCCGCAGGCATGTTCTTTGCCCCACATGAACACCGTCCGCCCCAAATGACCGTCGACAAGCCACAGCTGCGCACGGCAGCCGCTGCCCCGACCAGGGCCCTCGCCGCAGCCGCATGCTCAGCGCAGCGCGCCCCCGAGCAGGGCCCTCGCCGCAGCCGCGTGCTCAGCGCAGCGCGCGCCCCCGAGCAGGGCCCTCGCCGCAGCCGCGTGCTCAGCGCAGCGCGCCCCTCGCCCCACCGGCATGCCTGAGCCCAGGAGCAGCCTCCGGGCTGCTGGCCCCTCCGCCGGTGAACCGAGTCCCCCTGTAAGGGGCCACGGCCTGGGTGGGCCTTGCACTGTCCCCCACTGGGAACCCACGAGGGCCAGGACGTTCCTCGGAGGGGCACTCGGTCCCCGAGTGTGTGGCTGGGGGCTCCGAGCACCCTGGACGCCTGGGGTCCACCCCTGTCCTGACGGCTGTCTCAGAGCAGCGGCCCCAGCCCTGCCCATGGCCTGGTCACGGCTGGAAGGGACAGGGCAGCAGGTGTGGTTGGGGGCAGACGCGATGTGAGGGCCTGGCCGGGGCTGGCCAGGTGCCGGGCCCAGCGACTTGGGGGGGACCTCCTGCCATGGGGCCCCTTCCCTGCTCTTCACGGCGCCGTGACGGCCCAGGCCGGCTGCCCTGGCGTTCCTTCTAAGACCAGCTAACAGGGCATCTGCCCCTGGGGTGCCAGTGATGACGGCAGGTCAGATGTGGCTGAGGGTGGGACACGGCACCCAGCGGAAGCGTCTGGGGACTGTGTCGTGGATCCGGCCCTGCCAAGGGGCCAGGGAACAGTCCGGAGCGCTCGGAGAGCCCTGCAGGCTGCCGGGCTCCCCTACAACCCCGACCCGCGGGGGCAGGACCTCACATCAGAAGCCAGGATGCTGCCTGCTCAGCCCCGGGAGTTCAGCGCCAAGCCAGGGAGGCCCAGCCAAGCCCACCAGCCCTCCTGTATCTCCCACCAGAGACTGGGGGTGGGGATGGGGCAGGAGAGGGGCCTGGACTCCCCAGGCCCAGCAGACACAGCAAGGCGGGGGCCGGTGACACCTCGGTGACAATGAGGTTTAATTAAATACAGTCATGTATTTGTAAGGACTCCCGTACATAGTATTTCCAGTGGCAGATTCATAAGATTTCGATGTGAACTGTGACCTCGTGGTGCAGGGGGCCACCAATCCACGGGCAGTTGGTGGAGCTCCCCCTCCCGGCCCCGGGGCGCCCGCGGCAGTCCATCTGTCCTTCGGCTGCGGCCCCTCCCGGCCGGTCCCCTTCACACCTTCCCTGAGGTCCTGCTGACGGATAAGCGGGCCCCGAGGGCCCGGGCCCCTTTGGGAACCCCAGGCCGCTGGCGCCTCCTCCATGCGCCTGGCCGGGCCGCAGGGCCTCAGAGCTCGTTGTGGCGGGCCCTGGAGACGCGGCTGGAGAGGTCCTGCATGTGCTTCTTCACCTGCAGGAACAGCACGGGCCGGTCACGCGGGACATCCGCTCGCGACCCGAGACAGCCTCCCGATGCAGAGCCGGAGCTCGGCGGTTCGCTTTCCAAGTGCCTCCCCCTGCAACCCCCATCTATAACTCATCAGATAAACCATCCGAGCAGCTCATTAACCAGAAACAGCCTCCAGGGAACACTGGGAGCGGCCTCTCTCTCCAACCCAGCATCCTCACTTCTGACTTCACTGACTTTTGTTCTCCTCTTGATGAGTCTGGCTAAAGGTTTATCAATTCTGTTTGAAAGTGAAAGTGAAGTTGCTCAGTCGACTCTTTGTGACCCCATGGACTACAGCCCACCAGGCTCCTCCATCCATGGAATTCTCCAGGCAAGAGTACTGGAGTGGGTTGCCATTTTCTTCTCTGGGGGATCTTCCTGACCCAGGGATTGAACCCGGGTCTCCTGCACGGTGGACAGATGTCTTACCATCTGAGCCACCAGGGAATCCTTTCTGTTTATCTTTTCTAAAAAACCAGCTCTTTGTTTCATGGACCTTTTCCTATTTGTTTCTGCTCTGACCTTCATCCCTGTCCCTCTGCTGACTGTGGTTTCATCTGCTCTTTCTCTGGTTCAAGTCTAAGGTCAGGTTGCGTTTCCCCCGAGGTGGGCCTGTGTGGCTACAAGCCGCCCTCCTGGAACTGCTTCTGCGGCACCCCCTAGGTTTGGAGTTTGGGAGTCTTTTGTCTCCAGGTCCCCTTTTGACTTCTTCATTTCTTCAGTGATCCACTGATTATTTAGTAGCCTACCGTGTAGCCTCTGTGTGTTATGGTTTTTGCAAAATTATCTTTTCTTGTAGTTTAATCTGAATTTCAAGCTATGTGATTTTAAGGAGCAGCAAAAAAAAAAAAAACGACAGGCAGTGAATGAAGACCCAGCCCGTCTGCGGCTCCCCAGGCTCTGTCCTCATCACAGCGGCGGGGGCCTCCGTGGCCTGGACTCTGCCCTGCTCCCCGGGCACAGAGCCCGCGGGTGGGAGCCCCCCAGGCTGGCGGGGCCCTGGGGCAGGGCCGCAGCACCGTTGGGGAAGCTTCCCTCTCCTTCCTCTCCCAGCGGGGTCTGGCCTCTCCCAGGTCGTCTCCGCCCCCCTCTGATACTTTCCTTTCCTTCCCCTAACTCATCCTGCACAGGGAGGGGAGGGCGCCCAGTGCGGGAGGCACAGAGGAGGTCCCTGAAGAGCCGCCCTGGGCCCGGGCTCCCGCAGCGATGCCCACACCTGTGCCGCTGGCTCCGCGCCACCTGCCCCTCGCGCCCACACTGAGCCTGAACCCTAGGCCCCTCTGGAGACGGGCCCCTCACGTCTTGGTGCCTGGGAGGTGCCCTGAGCTGTGGGCTCACCGCCGATGACCAGCCGGAGGCCCTGCCGGGTCAGGTGCCTCCAGCGAAGGGGCTTTGGTCTCTGCGTCCCGTACGTCTTCTGGGTTCTCACGTCAGCCCGCCGAGGGCATCTGCGAGCCCCGCGGGGCTGCACATGAGGAGCAACCCCGTGCAGGCTACCTGCTGCAGCCCGTTTCCCGTGGCACCGAGTGTGGAACCAACCGCCGTGTCCCAGGCCCGAAGCTTGGGAAACTGCCGGCCCCTGCGGCCACTCGGGAGCCCCCAGAGCCACCGGGCAGCTCGAGGGGGTGAAGGTCACGCAGGGCCAGGGGCGGGCTCACATTTGGGGCCAGGCGGCCAGCTGTGCGGCTGGAAGAGCCTGGCTCCATCCTGCCTACCCACCGCCTCCCGTGGGCGCAGCCACACCAGACCTCTTGCTGGTCACCTGGGGGCCGGCCCAGCCCCAACAGGCCCAGAGGCGGGGTGGGGGTGGTGGGAAGGCCCGGGAGGTCCCTGCCCCACAGCCCAGCCCTGACCCCTGTGCAGCCCGGGCAGGGGCGGGGGCCTGATGGCGTGTCCACGCCCCCTGATGCCCCCGCCTAGCTCCGTGGGTGCGGATGAGCCTGGGGGGGTCAGCAGGTGGCCGAACTGACCTTGTAGCCCAGCTCCTTGGTCTTCTCCTCCAGCATGGCGTACCGCTCCTTGTTGCGGGTGATGTGCTCCTGGTCCCCGAAGCTCTCCACGTGCTTCAGCTTCTGGTGAGAAATTTCTAGCTGCTTCTGGTAATGGTTGTGCTTTTCGATTTTAACTTCGAAGTGCTTGAGCTCCTCCTGGAATGAGATTGAAAACTAAACTCCCTCTACCACCTCCAGGCCCGCGTCAGACGCCTCCCGCACATGTCCACCACCTTCAGCTCACCAGAGCGCACCCCCTACTCTACCCCGCGCTCCCGTCCAGGGAAACAGCAGCCTCACACCCCGGGGCCCGTGCCCTTCCCTGACCGCTGACTTGTGGCTCGGCCACGTGGAAGCGAGTGGGCCCAAGACTTTCCCTCCCTCTGGGCCCAGCCCAGACCCTGCAGGGCCTCGGTGGCACCTCCATAACCCTCTCAATCCACTCGTCCCACGAGCCCACTCCTCACACCCGGCCAGCCCCAAACTCAGCAGACGGCCTGGAGGCAGTGTCCACATGCTGGAGGCTGGCTCTGTCCCACACGGGCCGCCGACCAGGACTCGGGGCTGTGGGGGGCGACCGGAGACGGTGCTGCGCGCCCCGGTCTGGTGGGGTTGGAGGAGGGGGCCCTTCCGGCGTCATCAGCACGTCCACCAGGGACACTGCCACCCCACGGAGCTGGGGCACCACCCTTACCCGGAAGGACTCCAGCTCCTTCTCGGTGAAGTTGGCTGACTTGGCCATGTCCCAGAGGTCCAGCACCCGCGGCTCCATGAACTCTGCACGAGAGTGAAGACGGGCTCAGTGACCCCAGCCTGGGACGCCCAGGGGCATGCACGCCACCTGCACAGGGCGTGTGCCAGCGTCCTCGGGAAGCACTCCTTGCGCCTGCGCTCAGCCGGCAGCTCCCAGGCCAGGTTGCCGCTCCCCAGGGCGCAGGAGCCACCGCTCAAGTGAGCAGGGGGTGCACTCCAGGGTTGGGGACGCCTCTGATTCTGTGGGGTCCCCCTACCCGCAGCTCTAGGCCGAGGCTTGGGCTGCTGCCTGTCCTCACAGTTCCAGGGCAAGGGAAACCAAACGGAGGGGACCCTTTAGTGAGCACTCGTCACCTACTTCCCTCCAGCCTCAGAGAAAGCCGGGAGCACGTGGGCCACGCAGCCAGCCCCCAGCTGACCCCTCCTGTTGCCCGGGGCTACAGGAAGGACCCCAGCAGGAGGAGCCGCGGTCTGGGTACATGGACCCCGGAGGGCAGGGGCTGAGGCACTGCGGCCAGCCTTGGCCCCACCCCTCCACACGGCTGGGCCCGCGGGGGTCCCTGCTCCCCGGAAACTCAGTGGGTCGGCACAGTGGGCCTGTGGCGTGGTCCAGGCCCCCCACCACGGCAGGCTGAGCGAGCCCAGGACGCCCGGGTCGGGCAGAGGAGCAGGGAGCCCGGCTCGCGGCCTCGACGCGTCCTTGGGCCAAGAGCAGCAGTCGCCCCGTGGTCAGCACTCGGGGAACAGAGGGTGGGGGACGGGACGGGCATCACAGCCGGGTGCCGGGCGGCGACTCACCGGTCTCCGCGCTGTAGCCCTGTTGGCTGACCCTGCGTAGCCGGTCGAAGCCCTGGCCAATGTTCCGCAGCCGGTCCTTCAGCTCCGCGTGCCTGCTCGCCAGTGCTTCCGCCTGCATGCCGCTCAGGTCCACCGGCCCGATGGCGTTCTCGTGGCTTTCTGCCGGAGCACAGGCCGGGGGCCTGTGAGGGGCCGGCTTGGGGACGCTGCGCCCCACGCCCCCGCCCTGCTGACGCCCAGGTGGGCCCCGAGACCGTCACCCCTTGGGGGCCACCCCCAAGGCGACAGGAGAGGCGGCCGGCGTCACCGCAGAACCTGTCCGTCCGGGCACCGGCCCCAGACGCTGAGGCTCCTGCTCAGACACCGGGAGGCCTGAGGGGGTGGCGCAGCCCCCCCCCAACCCCCGCCCCCGTTCTGGAACATTCCGGGCCCAGGGCCGCCCACCAGGAGCACCTTCGGTCCTGCCCAGGGTCTCCAGCAGCGCGTGGTACTCCTGCACCTTCTCCTTGTGGTGCTGCAGCTCCCGCCTCAGCTTGTCCAGCTCTTCGCTGGAGAACTTCCCCGAGGTCTTCGCCTAGAAGGGCAGCACCTCCGGTGAACACCCCCAGGGGCCGCGCTCACCCAGGCCAGCGGGACCCCGGCGCAGGCCCGGTTCTCAGCCTTTACCCACCTTACCGGGGGCAGGGCAGGGGCCCAGACCTGACCACCTCCAGGGCGGATGGTGGGGAGACTACTAAGCAAGGCGGGCATGGGGATGGACCCCAGCAGGACCCTGGGCCGGGGTGGGGGGCCGGGGTAGTCCTGCCCGGGATGGGGGTGCAGACACACGAGGGAAGAACGGGCCCTGGGCTCAGCCCCGAGGAAGTCTCCCTCCCCCTTCCCCGTCCCCACCACCCACAGGTCGGCCAGCTGGCGCCCTGACCCCGGCCGAGCTTGCAGAAGCCGTCCACAGGATCCAATCGCAGGTTACACACAGATGGCCCTGAACACAGGTCTGACCTGCGTGGGCCCATTTACGTGCAGGTTATTTTCAAAAACATTGCACCACTACGCGATCGGCGGTTGGCTGACTCTGCAGACAGAGGGCTGACTCCCAGTTATACACAGGTCTTCCCTGGGCAGGGCAAGGTCAGTGCCCCCACCACCCACTGTCTTCACGGGTCGACAGTCCAGGCACCAAGCGAAAAGAGCTGCTCGGGACACCGCGAGCCTGCGTTTCAAGCACAGGTTGACGAGCACGCTTGTGGCGCTCGAGGCTCGGGTCCCCACGCGCCACGAGGGACCCTGTAAACACGCGTTGTGACCTCCTGTTCGCAGCAGCAAGCGCTCCAGGTGGGGCAGAGACGGGGTTGCAGGGAAGCGGGGCGCGGGGAGGGCCCACAGCGTGAGGCCGGCCGCCCAGGGCAGGACGCCAGGCCGAGGGTCGCGCTCGGCACAGGGTACCTTGTGCCACAGCTTCTCCAGCCGGGGGTCCTCCAGGCTGTTGTCATCGGCACCGTGGTCGATGAAGTTGCTGCTCACGACCCGCGAGTCCTTCTTGCCGTCCAGACCGTACTTGGCCAGGATGACTAGGAGGGAGCGGGGAGGGGTCAGGGCGGTGGGCTGGGGGCTGCACCCTGCTCTGCCCGCCCAGGAACTGGGGAAGGAGCCGGGACCTAGGGGTCCCCCCACACGGCTTCCGGGCGACCCCCCACCCCCTGCCCTGTGAGGAGAGCTGCACACAGGCCTGGCACCCGTGGGACTGCCTTCGGGACTGGCTGCACATGTTCAAACCAAAACCTGCTGTCTGATTCTGTCGAGGGGCAAGCCCCAGCTGGGGCGGACGTGAACGGGTCCGCATGAGCAGGGGCCGCTCCCCCACAACCCATGTCTTTATTTGGAGATTTCTAAAGGAGGAATGTTCCTGTCAACAGCTTCAGGGAAAAGTTACTAATAACAGTGGAGCGGGGGGGGACTCTGGCTCAGCCGCTGCTGGCGGGTCACTGACCCACAGCACCTAGGACGCAGCGCCCGCCCAGGGCCTCTGCACCAGACAGGGGCCTGCATCTCCACGCCGCTGTCTCTGACACAATGCGTGAGGGTACCTGGTCAGGTCTGGAGGCAGCTCCCTCGGCAGCAGGGCTGGGCTGCTGGGTCCGCCCTGGAGGAAGCCCCTCCCACTCCCAGTGACCCCCCCCCCCCACCCCACCCTCCCTGCTTGGAGGGATGGGTCCGCAGGCTGCAGACAGGACCGCCCTCCAGACTTCGCCCCAGGGCCACCCTGGGTCCTGGGCTTCTCTCCCCTGCCCTCCATCCCTGGGGTCCTCGGTCAAGCTGAAGCCACCTGGCCCCTGACCTGCAGCCCCTCCTCTGGGGCTGACCGCGTGAGCGCTGGACACGCGTGGTCTCCGAGGGGCCTGCGGCCCCCTGTGCAGCCCCGGCACAGCTCCTGGCCCTGGGTGCCCGCCTGCTGCCAGGGGCACCTCGGGGGGCTAAACTGCCCTGCCTACACTGCCCGGGGGCTCAGCCCACGGGGGCCGCAAGTGGGCCGTGAAGAGGGTGTGCTCCTGGTGTCCGGCCTGTGGTTTTCGAGACATTAAGAACACGTCTGTGACTCTCTCCCTAAACTGCAGAAGCCCTTCACCCGGCGATGGGAGCCTGACCGCAGGAGGTGCAGCCCGCGGGTGGCCCAGCCTCCGTGAGGACTCAGCTTGGGGGGTGGGTCTGCCATCAGCCCAGCTGCCAGGCCGACCCTCCACACCACCTCTCCGAGATGCCGGGCATGGGTGACCACCGTCTGCAGGGCCCAGGGCAGACCTGGCCACCGCTGGGTCCTGGTCTGGATGCAGCACTCTGTGGACACCAAGGTGTGGCACCTGCCTTGTAAAGGGGCTGGGGCGGCGGAGGGGGGCAGGTGGGATGTGGGGTCTCGGGGCCACACCTAGAAGATGGCCAGCCACTCAGGGAACACCGCCCCCAGATCGGAGGGCCCATCTCAGGCCCTGGCTCTCCAGGCTGGCTGGGTCTCCTGCCAGGTCACCTGGGCACCCACAGAGACCAGCATCACCAAGACAAACAGGGCGGCCCTGCCTGGGCACGGCCGTGGACCGTGAGGGCGCTGCTCATCCCGGGGGACCAGACCCCGGGAACACCCCGCCTCCTCGTCCAGGTGACTCCCGGCTGCCCCGGCCGTCTCTCTGGACCAGACAGACCCGGGGCTTTGGCCACTGGGAGCTCGCTCGGCCAGACACCCTCGCCCAGGACCTCCTCCTGCTGCCCGAGGCCCATTGAGGGCAGCCTGGCAGCCGCGCCTGCCTGGAGCTGAGGGTCACCCTGCAGGATCAGGCTTACGGGAGCAGTCCTGACTCGTCCGGCCTGTAGACCAAGTCAGAACAACAGGCTGGGGCCCGAGCCGGGGAGGCTGCTGCCCTTGGCCAGGGGAGAGAAGAGAAAGGGGACAGAGAAGAGAGGTACCGCTGAGGCTGCGGACCAGCTTCGCCTCCTCCTCCCCGTCCTCATCCAGGCCCTCAGCCTTCAGCTTCTTCCATTTGAATTCATCCCGTTCTTGAATCTTCAGATCGGTGTGGAGGTCGGACAACTTCAAAGGAGGAAGGTTCAGCTGCGGGAGGAGAGGAAGAGAGGACGCCTGACCACCAGCCGCGTGGTGACCAACGGCAGCCAGAAGAAACTACCCTCAGAGAGGAGATGAGGCCAGAGGCGGGGAGGAGGAGCCGGGGTCCCGGGAGCTCAGGACCCCGCCTGTGCTCCCACACGGGAGCGTCCAAGGGGCCTCTGAGCGCGGCGTGGAACCCAGCAGCTTTTAGGCCCCAGGCCCACCCTCCAGCCTCGGCGGACACCGTGTCCCCAGGGCCCCGGGGCGTCAGTGGCCTGAGCGCGGGCACTGGGGAGACAGGCGGGCTCGCCCTCCAGCTTGGACCCCGGGCGCCTGTGCGCACCTGGGCATGGGGATGCGGGCGCACGGATGCTGGGCTTGCTCGAGAAACTTCTCCCTGTATATGTAACTAGGATAAAAAGTAAACTGCAAGGACTGGAGAATAGATCATATTTACGGAAAACTTCCAATTTAAAAACAAAGAGCACAGCCACGGCTCCCCAGGGTCGTTGCCAGTGCTGGGGGCTGACCGAGGGATGCGGGGCCTCCCTGGATATGGGCTGTGGGGCTAAGAAGTGCCCTCCGGCTCCTGGCAGACCCTGCTCTGTGCTCAGCCCAAGGTCGCCTCCTTGCTTCTGGGCCAGAACTGGCATGTGAAGGCTGCCGTCAGGCCCATTAAACGTGCAACTTAAATCAATGCGCTAGCATGCCTGGCAGACACCTGCACCCTCGAAGGGTGGGTGGGGTGACACGGTGAGGACCCAGGGCTGCAGTGCGGGCCCCCCTGGGCAGCACTTCTGCATCCGTCAGCTCCCCAGGGGCCCCACTACCCCAGGCAGGCACGGGCGCTGGGACCTGACCCCAGACAGCCTGCCTTGCCTGTCCTGCAGGAAGGGGACCCTCATGAGTCGGGCTTGGTGGCACAGGCATGTGCGTGCCCGCGCGTGCACGGGAGCAGGAAGGCAGTGGGAGACCTCTGGGGCAGGAAGAAGGTGTGGAGAGGAAACCAAAGCTTCCAGGCAGCGTGGCACACCGGGGCTCCACTCGCCCCAATTTCCCTGGCTGTCCGCCTGCCCGGCTGGGTGGAAGGAAGCCTCACAGCTCCCGTGGGTGACGCTGGGCCTGCGGGGCAGACGCTGGGCAGCGTCCTGACCGCCTCTCTAGAGGTGCTCTATGAGCTTGGGGCCCTCTCCTCCACTCCTGTCAGAGCCTGGGGAGGGTAAGAACCTGCCCAGAGGACATGGCTCCATGTCCCTGGGTATCGGACCCTTTCTGCTGCTACTGGAAGGGGGATGGACTTAATTTCCTTCTCAGAGAGTTGGATGCTGGTGACCGAAGTGTCAGCAAGGCCTGCGTGTCACTTCTGTGCCCTGTAACTCTGGTGAGGCTGTTGATCAGACCTAGTGACTCTCTGCAGTGTTCAGGTTTTCTACAAATATAGATCACATCATCAGCAAACAGATCCTTTCACCTCTTCCTCTCTGATCTGGATGTCTGGATGACTTTTCTTTCTTTTTTCTTGCCTGGCTGTTCTGCCTGGAGCTTCCACTCCTTGTTGAATAGAAGTAATAACCTAATTCTTAAACAAACAGGTGAAGGACTTGAATATAAATTTCTCAAAAAAAAAAAAATTTCTCCAAACACCACACACAAATGGCCAAGAGGGACATGAACAGACCCTCCACATCGCAGATCATCGGGAGGAATGGAAACCCCATGAGGAGACACCACCTTACGGCGGTCACAGGACGATCACTCTGGAGAATGGAAAGCAGCCCCTGCCGGCGGGGATGAGAGCAAAGGGCACCCCCTGGGCGACTGCTGGGAATGCGAACAGGCGCAGCCGCTAGGGAAACAGTGTGGAGGCTCCTCAAAAACGGAGACTAGAGCTACTGTGTGATCCAGCAATCCCACCGCTGAGTACCTATCCAGAGGACCAGAAACCAGAATCTCCAAGAAAGATCTGTGCTTCCATGCTTCCTGCAGCAGCAGTCACAATGGCCAAGATACACGAACAACTACAACCAAGATGTCCATTGAGATAAAGAAGGAAAATGTGGGACAGACACACAGTGGAATATGAGCCTCAAAACAGAAGGGGAACTGGCCGTTAGTGATGACACGGGTGAGCCTGAAGGACGAGATGCTGCATGAGACAAGCCAGACATATCAGCAAACACTCCTCCACAGCAACGCTTAACACGAGGGGAGGAAAGTGGACGAAACTGAGAGGCAGAGGAGAGACAATGAAGGGCTGGTCAAAGGGCGCAGAGTCAGCTGTGCGGCTCAAGTGAGTCCCGGAGACCCCCTGCTCAGTGTGACCCTGGCAACCAGACTGTATGTTTTTGTTGTTTAGTCACTGAGTTGTGTACAACTCCTTGTGACCCTATGGACTGTAGCCCACCAGGCTCCTCTGTCCATGGGATTTTCCAGGTAAGGATACTGGACTGGGCTGCCATGCCCTTCTCCAGGGGATCGTCCCAACCCAGGGATCGAACCTGGGTCTCCTGCAAGGCAGGCAATTCTTCACCACCAAGACACCTGGGAATCCCATTTAAACTGTTTATTTATTATTTAAAAACTTGCTAAGGGAGTGGGGGTCGATCTTAAGTTCTTACCATAAATAATAACAAACAAGAGCTCGGGAGATTTTCAGAGGCCAATCATACCTCAAAAGTGGTAAAACGAAACAACAAAAAACCAAAACCAACAACCAACCAAAAAAAAAAACCCCTGGGACCCAGCATCCACGTACAGTCAGCTCCAGCCACAGCTCTGCACGCTGACCCTGGACCGAGGTGGGACCTGCACCCCCGGCCCATGGAAGGACTGGTGAGATGATGGGGAGACACCTTCTCTCACCCTGCGCACACACCATGCAAGACACACCGTGAGGTCACCTCACTTTTAGAAAAAAAGAAACGTGATGTTTTCATTCAGTTCAGCCGCTCAGTCATGTCGGACCCTTTGCGACCCCATGGACTGCAGCACACCAGGCCTCCCTGTCCATCACCAACTGCCGGCGCTTGCTCAAACTCATCCATCAAGTTGGTGATGCCATCCAACCATCTCATCCTCTGTTGTCCCCTTCTCCTCCCACTGTCAATCTTTCCCAGCATCAGGATCTTTCCTAAGGAGTCAGTCTTTTGCAGCAGGTGGCCAAAGTCTTGATATTTCCAGAGAGCAAATTATCCCAAGAACAAAACCAAAAGGCTAAGAACCAAAAGTGCCTCGTGCTGGCCCTGCCTCCTGTCTGGGCTCGGCTCTGGGTGGGGGAGTGCCACAGCCACCGCCCGAGAAGCTTCCTGAAGCTAGGGGGCTTCTAGGGGACTAGGGGGCTGGGACAGGCCAGCTTGTATTCCACAGGTCTGCTCAGGGAGCCAAAAAAATGATGCCACCAGGTGTGAACCCCACCCTGAGGACGTGTGCACTTCGTTCAGCAGAAAACACCTGTACATGCAATTGGGGAATTTCAGGGCCGAGCGGCCCAGAAAAGACATCTAGTGCAAGGCTGGCCTGTCCAAGGACAGTGATGGGGTTCCCAGCCTCTCAGACAGATGTGACCCGAGACGGACCAGGTCGGCAGTGGACTGAGCACAGGGCGGGGGGGGGGGGGGGGGGGGGGCGTAGGGGGGTGGCGGGGAGGGTCATGGAGGTGCAGCTCAAGGGCAGGGGACGGCCAGGAGGCGTGAGGAGGCCGGCAGATGCAAAGCGGCATCTGGACAGACAAGACAGGGCTGACCAGCACAGCCCTGCGGGCAGGAGGGCTACCAGCAGGTTCGCGGGCACAAGAGCCCCTTCTTCCAGGAAGCCCTCCAGCCTCTCCAACCCAGAGTGCTCTCTCACCAGGCAGACTGCGCACACACAGAGGCCCTGACAGCTAGGGACCCCAGCGGAATCCTCAAGGGCACTGGCCTAGGAAGAGTGCGGGGCCTGGAAGCTAAGGGCCTGGGGGCATCCACTGGGCCCTGACCGCCCCGAAGGCGGCTCTCCTCACGTTCCTCCCCCACCGTTCTCCCCCCTCAGTTTCTTTTCTTTTCCAAAACTTAGTCCTCACTTTGTTTTACTCTTTCAAGGACTCAGGAATGCTTAAAACTAGAAGACTGGAGCTGATAAGACTCCATTTGAAAGATGAAGACAGAGGCCCAGAGGCTGGGGGAAGCTTGTATATACCCATTTCTCTAAAAACACCCCGCTTGAAACAGAAGGGACTGTTAGGTTAATGAGGAAGCCCTGGTGCAGGTCAATTAGCAAGCTGCCTCCAGGCGGAGTGACCTTAGGGGCGTCCTTTGCCCTCTGGGCTTCGAGGCAGGTAGGATTCAGTTCACTTGAGTATTTCAGGAGTTTCAGGTGTTATCCTCCCACCACATGCGAAAGTGAGTCACTCAGTTGTGTCTGACTGCAAACTCTCCAGGCCAGAATACTGGAGTGGGTAGCCATTCCCTTCTCACCACAGCCTCTCACCCAATTTAACAAGAACCTGTCTGCTTCCAGGATTTCTGCTATCCCTGACTTGTCCTCATGACAAGCATCACCTGTTTTCTTGTTTCTCTATATAGGGAAACAGAATGTAGAAAAGGTAAAAACCTGCAAGGCAGGAGACCTGGGCCTGCCTGCTGGGAGGGAATCTCGGCCTCAAACTGACAGGGCAGCCCCTCTGCCCAGGCCAAGGCCTCCTTGTCTTCACCTGTCACCGCCAGGCCAGGGTCCCTGTTCCCTGATGAAGGGTAGAGGGAACGCAGTGAGAGGGACTCACACCTGTATGTGTGGGCGGGTCTGAGGCTGTCAAAGGCTCGAGGCCCCGGCCAGCAGACGCCCGAGACTGAAGAGACCCCGGCCCGGGCTCTGCAGACCCCAGGATCAGAGGACGTCCCGCGGATCCCCGAGACTGAAGAGACCCGGGCCCAGGTTCTGCGGACTTCAGGATTAAAAGACGCCCTGCGGACCCCCGAGACAGAAGAGACCCGGGGCTGGGCTCTGCAGACCCCAGGATCAGAGGACGCCCCGCGGCCCCCCAAGACTGAAGAGACCCGGGCCCAGGTTCTGCGGACTTCATGATTAAAAGACGCCCTGCGGACCTTCGAGACTGAAGAGACCCGGGCCCGACCCCGCGGACCCTCGAGACAGAAGAGACCCGGGCCTGGGCTCTGCGGACCCCAGGATCAGAGGACGCCCTGGCCCGCGGAGCCCCGAGGTGGAGGGACCCGGCCGCCGCTCACCCGCTGGGCCTTCTCCCACAGCTGGTTCAGCTTCTCCATGCGGAACTCCGCCGCGGGCTCGCGCTTCGAGGGCGGCGCGGGCTCGTTCTTCTCCCGCGAGTACTTGCCGGCATGGCCCGCCGCGGCCCACGGCCCGAGGAGCAGCAGCAGCAGCAGCGGCGGCGGCGACAGCGGCCGCCTCAGCGCGCGCAATGCGGATAAGACCTTGCGCGACGCCATCTTTCGCCTCCAGACTCGGGGCCCCGGGAGCTGCGGGAAGGAAAAGGCCCCGCCCCGCCCACCGGGCTCGCCCCGCCCACCGCGCTGCCTCCTGGGAGCTGCAGTCCCTTCCTGCCCGGCCGGCCCAAAAGGAGCAGCAGGCGGACTACAAGGGCCGGAGAACCCTGCGGAGGCACGGCGCGGGGGCGTTTCCTAGGCAACCGCACCGCGGCCTGGAGTCTCCGGGCGCCGTGAGGCCCGAGTGCACCTCAGTTCAGTTCAGTCGCTCAGTCGTGTCAGACTCTTTGCGACCCCATGAATCGCAGCACGCCAGGCCTCCCTGTCCATCACCAACTCCCGGAGTTTACTCAAATTCATGTCCATCCACTCGGTGATGCCATCCAACCATCTTATCCTCTGTCGTCCCCTTCTCTTCCTGCCTTCAGTCTTTCCAGCATCAGGGTCTTTTCCAATGAGTCAGCCCTTCGCATCAGGTGGCCAAAGTATTGGAATTTCAGCTTCAGCATCAGTCCTTCCAATGACTATTCAGGACTGATCTCCTTTAGGGTGGACTGGGTGGATCTCCTTGCAGTCCAAGGGTCTTCTCCAACACCACAGTTCAAAAGCATCAGTTCTTCTGAGCTCAGCTTTCATTATGGTCCAACTCTCACATCCATAGATGACTACTGGAAAAACCATAGGTTTGACTAGACAGACCTTTGTTGGCAAAGTAATGTCTCTACTTTTTAATATGCTGTCTAAGTTGGTCATAACTTCTTCCAAGGAGCAACCATCTTTTATTTTCATGGCTGCAGTCACCATACGCAATGATTTTGGAGCCCCCCAAAATAAAGTCTCTCATTGTTTCCACTGTTTCCCAGCATCAGGATCTTTTCCAATGAGTCAGTTCTTCACATCAGGTGGCCAAAATACTGGAGTTTCAGGTTCAGCATCAGTGCCGCTGGGACAGTGAGACTGCTGGGGCTATAGGTGGGGCAGAGATCTGATCTCACAGCCTGGATTGACCCCCCAAGGGCGCGTTCCCCTCGGCTGTGTGGAAAGAGGAAACAGTTCAGAAATCGGGACTGTGTCTAGCTGACACCTTAGGTTGTTTCTGTGTCACCTGCCTTGGTGCTGAGCCTTCTCTGTCATCATGAACTCTGGAAGTTGGCCTTGGCTGGCACCCCACCATAAATGTCTGTCAGGAAGCCTAAATCCCTCCTCCCAAGCCCACTCCTTCCCAAAGCTTCCCCGCCCCCATCTAGCGAGTGCCCGCACCTCAACACCGACTTTGATCCGCATCCACTTCTGCCCCCTGCATTTGTTCTGTTATTAGAGATGTTTGTGTACCTGTTCTCTCTCCCCATCTGCTGTATTTCAGTAAACGAGCAAAGGTGAATATAGCCAACGTGCTAAGGCCGCTCTCCCTGTGGGGAGAGTAGGGAACAGGGAGAGTGGGACGCAGCCTGCGGCCTTGAGCAGCTTCTGGGGTCAGGTAGAGGCACCCATAGGGGAGCTCTGGTGCTTCGAGAAGGAGCCGGGCGAGCCCCGTCTGGTGAGGACGGTGGACCATGCCTGGGAGGGAGTGCCCAAGGAAAGAGGGCTGAGCGTAGCTTTCTTGACATGAGAGAAGCCACTGTAGGCCTAGGCTGTGTTGCCATCTCAGCCTGGCCACAGCGAGGCCTGTGAGGAAGAACAGGCCTCGGAAGAATGATTTTAAGGAAACAAAGGCATGTGAGAGCAGACAGCTGTTACCAGGCCAGGGAAATAATTTAGCAATTTAACTGGAGATAATACGTCGGTCCTGGTAGTTTAGTCTCCGCATCGTGTCTGACTCTGCAACCCCATGAGCTGTAGCCTGCCAGGCTCCTCTGTTCATGGGATTTCCCAGGCAAGAATACTGGAGTGGGTTGCCATGTCCTTCTCTAGAGCATCTTCCTAACCTAGGGAACGAACCCAGATCTCCGGCATAGCAGGCAGTCTTCAACATATCAGGCAGATTCTTTACTGCTGAGCCCCCAGGGAAGCCTTACATCAGTCATAGACACTACCAGTTCTGTTTCAGAGATGAAGAATAGTCTGACACATATTCTCTGAGCTGTCCAACAGGGTCCGAACCCCCTTGGACAACTGGCCACCAGGCTAACTGGAGCCAGACCACTGACGATACTGATCTTTGCTGCCTTCAGTCAACAAAGACCCTGGCCTCTGTCAGCCTAGGATGATGCTTGCCCCAATTCTGTTCTCAATTTCTCTTTGCACAAGCCCGTTCATGAGTATGCGTGCTCCCTTAGCTTAAAACTTCCCCCATTTTGCTGTCTTGGGAGACACTGCTTTGGGAAGTACCCCCAAAGTTCTCCTTACTTGCTGCAGATAATAAATCGTTCTCCCACTTTTTGATTTGATTTGTTTGGCTTGATGCCCACTAAGAGGTGAACCCAGTTTCTGGGGGTAACAGGAGGGCATTCCAAGTGGAGGGTCCATGAAAGAAAATGAGGGGAGTGGAGAAAATCTGGGCACCTTGGGAGGAATTGGTATTTACTTTTTTAAAAAGAATTGAGGCATGGTTGATTTACAATGTTGTGTTAGTTTCAGCTGCACAGCAAAGTATATTAGCTAGAGAGATATATATGTGTATATATATGTGTGTGTGTGTGTGTATATATATATATATATATATATGTATGTATATGTGTGTGTGTATATATATATTTACTTTTCCAAATTCTTTTATGTAATAAGTTATTACAAGATATTGAATATGGTTCCCTGTGCTATACAGTAGGGTTTTTTTGTTTATTTTATGTGTTATTGTGTATAACTAATAATCCTGAACTCCCAATTTATCCCTCCCCGCCTTTTCCCTTTGGTAACCGTAAGTTCCATTTTCCGTGTCTGTAAGTCTATTTCTGTTTTGTAAATAAGTTCATTGGTATCTTTTTTTTAAAAGATTCCACATGTAAGTGATATTATATGATATTTGTCTTTGACAGCATGATATCTCTAGGTCTTGCTGCAAGTGGCATCATTTTGTTCCTTTTTATGGCTGAGTACAGCATCTCCAGAGACAGAGGATGAGATGGTTGGATGGCATCACCGACTCAACAGATGTAAGTTTGAGTAAGCTCCAGGAGTTAGTGATGGACAGGGAAGCCTGTGTGCCGCAGTCCATGGTGTCGCAAAGAGTTGGGCATGACTAGGCTACTGAGCTAAACTGAACAGCACCTCCTGTGGCTCAGATGGTAAAGAATCTGCCTGCAATGCAGGAGACCCGGGTTCAATCCCTGGGTCAGGAAGATCCCCTGGGGAAGGGAATGGCAACCCACTCCAATATTCTTTCCTGGAGAATCCCATGGACAGAGGAGCCTGGCGGGCTACAGCCCATGGGGTAGTGGACAGGACTGAGCGACTAACACATGGCACTTAGTTACTTTGTAGTAAATTGTAGCCTGTGTTGTTCCAGAAAGGGTTTGAGGTGCCTGGAATCAAGCTTTGATGGACGAATAGATTGACAGATGGATGGAGGGATGCGTAATGAATTCTTCCTTTGTTCCCAGCCTGGTACTAGAATATGCTGTCTTTTCTCAACAACAAGATGCCACAAAGCCCTTGATGGTGATGAGCAGAGGCAAAGATGGTGAGCATCTCATACAGACTTCAGATCCGCAGTGGGCCTGGGAGTGACATCAGCCATCAGGATCTGATGAAGGAGGCTGGGGTGGGGGTGGGGGTAGAGAAGAGGCTCTAAACTCCTTTCCCAGGCTGCAGACACCTCTGCCCCCGCAGTGTTTCTCCAGACTGCAGCTTCCTGGCCCAGGGCCTGGGGGCCGGCCTGGAGCCCCTCCAGCCCAGGCGAGCCCTGCGATGCGGCCATGGGGCCCCTCCCCTGCTTTCGCCTCCCCCTCGTTTCTGTACCCTTTGCTCCGCCCGTGCCCGCCTGCCCTGGCAGCCCTGGGGAAGCACCTCGCCTGGCCGCTGGATCCACGCTCAGCACCACATCCCTGCAGGAAGGCGACTAACCTGCGTTCAGCACCACATCCCTGCAGGAAGACGACTAACCTGCGCTCAGCACCACATCCCTGCAGGAAGACGACTAACCTGCGCTCAGCACTACATCCCTGCAGGAAGACGACTAACCTGTCCGCTATCACCGCCTACTTAGTGGCTCCGACATGAGACTCCTGCCAGGCTGCGCTTGGCACAGAGCAGCAATTACTGAAAACGCATTTTTAAAAGTTGACGTTTTTGGGAAGAGTTCGTCCTCCCCCGCCTCCATCCTTCCCCAAAGAGACCTGCATGCAGGCACTTTCCATGTGACTCCAGCTTCACGGTGCTGCCTTCCGAGGTGCAGGGAAATGGGCTCTGGGCCCAGCGCACGCACCCCCTGAGCTGACCGGGGCTCTGGCGCGAGCCCCTCCGATGTTCTTCGTGAAGTCCCCGAAGCTCAGACACGCATGCTTCATCAGTTTCATGTGTTGTGAATTTCCACCTATCCTTGGGCTTGCTTTCGCTCTTTGGATGGCCTCTTTTGATGTACAGGCAGCTTAATATACCTGCAATGATCAATATTTTCCTTTACTTGTTACTGCTTTCGCGTAAAGCCTTTCCAGCATCAAGGAGATGAATACATTCCACATTAGCTTCTAAAGACCCTGTGGCTTCGCCTTTCACATTGGAGTCTCTGCTCCACCTGGAACTGATTCCTGAGAATGGCTTTAGGGGGCTTCCCTGGTAGCTGAGATGGTCAAGAACCTCCCTGCCAATGCAGGAGATATAAGAGATGTGGGTGCCATCCCTGGGTTGGGAAGATCCCCTGGAGTGGGAAATAGCAAACCACTGCAATATTCCTGCCTGGGAAATCCCGTGGACAGAGGAGCCTGGCGGGCTACAGTCCAGGGGTCGCAGAGTCAGACATGGCTGAGCGACTTAGCGCAGCACATAGCACAGGGCCTCTGGGTGGGGAAGTTTTCAGAGCGGAAATGTGGTTGATCGTGCGTTGTTTGCAACGATAAACGTGCACCATGCATTGTTTCCTTTTCAGAAATGGGAATCTTAGAAAGTGGATTTGACCAGAACTGCTGTTTAGGGCACCAGAAACTAGCTGTGCCCTAGAATAGTGCCCTAAAGTCTGGGCCCCCAAATACAAATGTCCAGTAGTCCAAACGCCATAGGTAGAATTGTTACTGTTGCTCACTTTCCAAGTCGTGTCCGGCTCTTTGAGACCCCATGGGCTGAGCACACCAGGCTTCCTTGTCCTTCACCGTCTCCCAGAGTTGGCCCAAGTTCATGTCCATTGAATCGGTGGTGCCATCCAACTAGTGACTCACAAAAATCCTTTATAAACCAGATTCATCCTTTCCTCCATGTTGAAATGGTTCTTTGATGAGAGTAAATTCTCCAGTCATCAAGCATCCCATGGACAGAGGAGCCTGGTAGTCCATGGGGTTGCAAAGATTTGAACAGGACTGAGCGCCTAAGCACAAAAAATATACACATAGAAGAAAAGAAAGTGTTAGTCACTCAGTGGTGTCCAGCTCTTTGTGACCCCATGCACTGTAGCCCGCCAGGCTCCTCTGACCATGGGATTCTCCAGGCCAGAATACTGGAACGGGTAGCCGTTCCCTTCTCCAGGGGATCTTCCCAACCCAGGAATCGAACCCAGGTCTCCAGCATTGGAGGTGGATTCTTTACTGTCTGAGCCCCCAGGGAAGCCATGTATATACACTGTGTGGGGTAGGGTACCACGTTCTACGTGTCCTAACTCTCAATAAGACAAAATGCACCTCAGTCAGCCCTGCTGGGAGAACAGCAACAGCATTTCTGTTCCTTCTCTCAGACATGGCATCACATCACCACACCCTGAGACGACTGACAAAGATGTGACCAAAACATACCCGGAAAAGTATGATGGAGATGAACCAGGCAGCTAGTTAGTAAAAGCGTCTTGTTGGTTTTTCAGATTTTGTGTATTTGTCCGAGTGCAAAGTTGTCTTCATTTTTTCTCACTCTAAATAAATGTTCCCTTTCATACCTAATTTTGTTTCTGTAACTTTGCATTCTCTTCTGTAAAGACAGCCCCAAGCTGTGTGAGCTTCAGGTCCCATTAAGCTCCCTGGATCCCACTTGGCCCCTGCCTCCTGCCTGCTGGGCCGGGGTGGAGGAAGGACCCGGCGGAGGCTGGGGGGTGTGGAGCTGGTGAGGCCTGGGGTCGTCGCTGGATGGGGCCTTGTGCATGGCAGGGGCAAGACAGAACTTCCTAGATCCCTGCTTGAGGTGGCCGCCTGCAGGCATCAGAGTAGCACCTGACGCACACGGGCCTCGACAAACCAGAGCTCCCGCGAGGTCACCCCGTAGTGTGACCTCGCTTTCACGTCCTGCCCTGCTTCCTTCCTCCCTTCCTCCCCTCCCCAGGGTGGGGCCCGGCGCTGGGTGGGCTTGGTTTATAAAAACCTGAGCTGGATGAGGCCTGGGCCTGAGGAGGACTCAGACAGACTCCCTGTTTGCAGAAGGAGTCAGAGATGGTAAAAAGGATGTTCTGGTCTCCAGATCACTAGTTCTCGACTGGGGAAAGTTTCTGCACGCCCCTCCCACCCCGGGGACAGCTGGCAAGGGGGTCATCACCAGCTAGCAGAAAGAGGAAAACCAGCCTCTCGGGGCTGGAGGCCAGGGATGCCAGGGGCAGCCCTGCCCCACAGGCTATCCAGTCCCATGTGTAGTGCTGGGAGGGGGAAGGGCCTGGTGCCTAGCAGAGGTGCTGGCTTGGCCCAGGGCTGGGGCGATCTCGGGGATCTATGGGTCTGTGCCGTCTGGTGGTCAGGGAAGCAATAAAACAGGACGTTTTATTGCTGGGAGTTGGGGTGGGCGCAAGGACGCCTGTTCCCGTTTCACAGAAAGACAGAGTCCTGGAGGGCTGGGTCCCCCTGCCTGCCCGAGCCAGTCCCACAGCTCAGGGTTTGCCTCCCAGTTACTCTGCCTCAGAAACTCCTCAAGTGTGGAGAAATTCAACCTTCCAGATCACGTCCTTATTTTGTCCTCCTGCGCTTCTGAGAATCAAGAAGGAAAGGCTTTCGCCCCCATTTTTCAGATGCAGCTGGTGAAGCCAGGCCAGGAGCAGAGAGTCCAGAACCACTCCCACCTCACAAGACCCTCCCCCCGCAACCTCACCTCCAGACCTGGGCCCACCCGAGCCAGTCTGGAATCTGTAACCGCAGGTCCTGAGGCCTTCTGAGCTTGTCCGGCGAGATTCCACGGTGGGATCACTAAGGTTACCTGTTGGGGAAGAAAATCACCTTCATGAGGCCTCAAGGGCCTCTTTGCACTTGTGAGGGGTGGTCACAGCTGGGTTCCTGAGGAGCTCGGAGCGGCCGCCGCTGTGGGTGAGGAGGGGGCGGGATGTGGGGTGCAGCAGCAGTCCCCGGCGCGCCCGCAGCCCCGGGCTCTGCACACTCAAGTGCAGCACCCCTTGTGTGGATAAAGGACCTGCGGTTCAGAAAGGAGCCTCAGCCCCTGACTCCCCGGCTGGCCAGAGGCAGGGCTGAGTGGCCCCCCGCCTGGCTGCCTGCTGGGGTGGGTGTCGGCTTGTCCTGCTGGACAGGACGCTCCCTGGGGTGATCTGAGCAGAGGAGCCGTGGCTGCTGTCTGCCTCCTGATTGTGCAGCGCCAGTTCTGACCTGACCTCTCGGAGCCTCCGCTGCTTGGCTCGCAGTGTAAGGGGCTGGGCTCTGACCGTCCGGTCCTCTCCCACAGTGGGGAGGGCTCCAATGAGAATGGTGCTTGGGGTCCCCAGGGGAGGGCGGCGGGTCTGAGCCGGCCTCAGGGCCCAGCCAGGGTCGCTCTGGGGTAGGGAGGGTCTGCAGACAGGAATGTGCAGCTCCCAGGTGGGGCAGTGCAGACCCCTCGGGGTGGGTGGGGACCCCGACACCCCCAGGCTGTCCGGAGACCTGTGAGTCAGGACCTGGGAGGGAAGGCGGGCCCAGGGCCAGAGGGGAGGGGCTTGGAGAGGGGAGGAGCTTGGAGTGGGGAGGGGCTTGGCCTGGTTGGGGGTGGGACAGCGGTGTCCTTTGCTTACTGGCCAGAGGTATGTCTCTAGGAGGGTGTTTCCGCCTCCTCTGAGTGGGGGATCTGGTGATGGGGGTGGGCGACTGGCTGTGGAATGTGGTGCCTGGGCCAGACAAGGTAGGCAAATATGGCTGCTGAAATAGGGACGAACACCATATAGTTCCAGTAGGGATGCTCAGATTGAGGGTTGGGCCATAAAGAAAGCCGAGCACCAGAGAAATGGTGTTTTCCAACTGTGGTGTTGGAGAAGACCCTTGAGAGTCCCTTGGACTGCAAGGAGATGAAACCAGTCCCTCCTAAAGGAGATCAGTCCTGAATATTCATTGGAAGGACTGATGCTGAAGCTGAAACTCCAAATACTTTGGCCACCTGATGCAAAGAGCTGACTCACTGGAAAATATTCTGATGACGGGAAAGAAAGGGGTGACAGAGGATGAGATGGTTGGATGGCATCACCAACTCAATGGACGTGAATCTGAGCAAACTCCAGGAGATAGTGAAGGACGGGAAGCTTGGATTGCTGCAGTCCACAGGGTCGCAAAGAGCCGAACACGACTGAGTGAACAACAGCTGTTAAACAGGTCTTTCCTCCCAACTTTTCCCGTGCAAGTTTCAGACTGAAACTCGAGGCTGATTCTACAGTGAGAGCTCGGGGTGTGGTGTCACTTTGTAGCTTGATGTCAGCTGCAGTGGGTGTCTGTGCAAACACTGCACACCAGCCTCTCCCGAGAGCCGGGTGTGAACAGTCACACATGATGAGTCCTGGGGGTACCTGCACCCCAGCTGCCGCCTCCCCGATGGGGACGCCTGCAAAGGCTGGCAGAAGAAGGAGTCTGGGTGGGTCTCGTGTCATGGGGTGGGAAAGGAAGCTCATCCAGGATCTCCCCCCGCAGCCTCTGCTCACACCCCTCCTGGTGTCCTGGAGGACATGGCAGCCCTGTGGCCAAGGGCTCCCCAGCGGCAGCTATGGCAACCGGCCTGGGAGCCAGCCTGGTCCCTGGAGGAGCCTCAGGCTGGGCCTGCCCCTTCCCTGGCCCAGCACCTCCTCCTCACCAGCCTGGTAAGTGCACGACCCCCTCTGCCCTGGGAGGGAAGGGGGTCTCCACTGCTCACCCACAGCAGGACCCCCACTGTGGTCTTAGGGCCAGAAATCCCCACGGCCACCTGAGCCCCTGGGCCCCTGCCAGACCCCCAGGAGGAAGCAGAGGCTGCAGGGGTTACCACCCACCTCGTCCGTGAGAGCCAGACTGACTCCAAGCATGCTCACCCTTGGCCCCGACTTGCCTGGGGCAGGGGTTCCGGAGCCTGGTGGGGGTCCTTCCACACTGGGGGTCCTGGGAGTGTGGGAGGGTCTGGGGTTCTGCAGGGGAGACACTGCAGGCCCTTCGTCTGGGACATTACACAGCAGAGGGAATGTGGTAAAGCCCAGGATTAACATGGGGGGACATCCCTGGGCTGGAAAGAGGGGCTTACACAGGATCTGAACCTGCAGCTTTAGGATCAACACCCACCGCTGGGCCGGTCCTGCTGGGTGTCTGTGTGGTCACCACCCCTTGCGGGAAACTGTTGGGTGAGTCTGCTTAGGAACCGCGCTTGAGGCCGTTGTCTGGACGTGTGTGTGTGGGTTGGGGGTGTCCGGCTCGTATCTCCCAGCCCGTCTCCATCTTCCCTCGCTCCCCACCTGGTCAGGAATTCTCTCTATGGGCTTGCTCTGTGCTGCTGAATGCACCCTCTGCCCTCCAGCGCTTACAAGCTGAGCCTGGAGCCTGAGGTGTTTTTCTCTTGTCTCCCCAGTTTGTTGGTTTATTCTCTCTGTGTCATTGTCTGATGACACATTTGCATTCAGTTTCTGTTAGGCCAATCTCATTCCCACTCTTGATAATTTTTAAAAAAGTCTTCAGTTAATTGCACTTAATGCTCTCTGCCCCTCATTTGCCAAAATTCTCCTTCTGCAGGGAGAAGCCTTGCCCAGCAGTTCCTCCAGGAGACCGTGTGTGCCCCCCGCTTTCTGTGCTCTTAGCTTGCTGGCGACCCCGAGCTTGTGGCTGAAACACGCCAATCTCTGCGTCCCCATCACACGGCCTCCTCCCGGTGTCTGCGTCTTTTTTTCCCTTCTTATAAGGACACCAGTCATCTTGGATCGGGGCCCACCCGAATAGAGTATGATCTCATCTTAACGTGAGCGCACCTACGGAGACCCTACCTCCACAGCAGATCACGTTCACAAGTGCGGGGCTCAGGGCTTCAGCGTAGATTTTGGAAAGGGGGACACTTTCAACCCACAGGTATCTTTTAGAGGTGACAGAGGATGAGATGGTTGGATGGCATCATCGACTCAAGGGACATGAGTTTGAGCAAGCTCCGGGAGATGGTGATGGACAGAGAAGCCTGGTGGGCTACAGTCTATGAGGTCGCAATGAGTCAGACATGGCACATTCTTCTAGATATTGTTCTGTTTCTTCTGGTGTTCGATGGTCCTGTTGAGAGTCTAATGCCAGCCTGGTCCTCCTCCCCTGATAAGAAGCTTGTTCTTTCTGTCCAGTTGCCCAGAATGTTTTTTTCTCTTCCTTTTAATCCAGGTTATTTGCCAGGCTATGTCCTGCTGTTGAGCGCTCCGTGGTCAGTATGCCCACGCACACGGCATGTGCTCTGATACACAGATGCACAACCTCAAGAAAGTGTTTCAAGTTATTTCAAAACAACGTTCTTGAGCAATTGTTCAAATACTCTGATTGTTTTTGGTGGTCACCTCGCAGAACTCCAATTATGCCCGTGTTTTAACTCTTCCCCTGCCTTTTATGGTTGCCATTTTCTCTCGAATCCTGTTTAATCTCTCCCCTATTTCTTCTCATTCGTTCACTTCCCCCGCCTTCTTAATGTCCCTTGCTGTGATCTCTATCTTCTCACCTCCCTCGTAAAGTCATCGCTTTGTTTCTGAAACGGTTTTGCCTTTCCTCGCATTTCTTTCCTGAATCACGTCGGTTCCCGTGTCAGACTCCGTGCTGTTTGCCCACCTGCCCTGAATCGCGGTCTTCCTTCAGAGCTGAAGTTCATGTTGGAGATTCGGGTGCCAGGTTTGCTGGTTGCGGCGGCAATCGTTGGCTGAGACTTCAGCTGCGGGGCCACGGTGCGGTCCCCAAAGTGGAGACGGCGCTCCTGTCCTGTCACTGGCCTTCACATGGCGTGCTTTTCCCTGGACGTGCAGACGGTTCCTGCCCTCAGCGCAGTGCGTTCCTGCCTGGCCTGTGGACGGGCTCCGCCTCGAGGTCCTGCTGCCCCGCTGGGGCTGGTGGTGGTGCTGGTGCCGGAGGGACAGCGGCCCTGCGCCCGGGCCTGCCAGCTCAGCCCGGCTTCACTGGTAGAAGTTCGAGATCAGCCCGGTCTGTGGGGAGGAGGCGGGACGGGGCCGCCTCTGCAGGGGTGGCCACGCAGGACGGGGGGAGACGTCGGGTGACGGTCACGCTTGGTCGCTTGATGGGGTTTGCGTCTGCCGAGCTCTGTGGGTGGCCCACTGGAGGTCTGTACATCTCACTGCTACAGGGTGAGTCATGTTCCCCCCCAGATTCATACGTGAAGCCCCCAGCTCCTCAGAATGCGACCTTATCTGGACACAGGTCCCTGCAGACGGAATTAGTTAAGATGATGTCATACTGGGGCAGGGTGCATCCCGAATCCAGTCTCACTGGCATCCTTGTGCAGGTGGAATCTCGGGACACAGACACGACCACAGGCGGAAGGCCATGCACAGAGGCCCCTCAGCATCTCAGAAGGATCCTGCCCTGCTGACACCTTGACCGGGCACGTCTGGTCTCCAGAGCTGAGACGATAGCCTCCTGGTTCAAGTCACCCAGCCTGAGCGACTCTGACATTGTATCTGGAGACCCTGCTTAGAACTCTGAGTGTGAGCTCTAGTTCAGGGTCCGGACGTGGAGTTGTCTCGACGTGGAGTTTCCTGATGTCTCCATCAGGAATGTGGACAGGGATGCCAGGAGGGTTTGTGGCAGGAAAGTGGGAGCGTGGCAGGAAACCTGGGGGGCAGACGGACAGATGGAGGGGGTCCCTGCCCGGAGCGGGGCAGAGTGAGCTTAGACAACCATGACAGGGGCTTCCCAGGTGGTCCAATCCGCCAGCCTGTGCAGGAGACGTGGATTCGGTCCCTGGCTCAGGACGATTCCACATGCCACAGAGGAATGAAACCCGGGAGCCATGACCACTGATGCCCAAGTGCCTAGAGCCCTAGCTTAGCCGAGCTAGTCCAGGTCAGGCTAACCCGGTGAGCCGAGCGCCCGTGGTCCACAGCAAGAGAAGCCCACTGTCCGCACCCGGAGAAGAGCCCGCACAGCAGTGAAGACCCAGCACAGCCAAAAGCAAACAGAAAAACCAAAGCATATCTACAGAAAAATAAAAAGCAGCGACAAGGACATCCAGTGGCTAAGACTCTGTGCTTCTACTGCAGGGTCGGGGGTTTGATCCCTGACTGGGGATCTAAGATGATGCAAACTGGAAAAAAAAAAAGGCAGTGACTTTGTGTGTTGGAAGATTTTTGTGATAAAATGTTGATTAAAAATGTTTCACTAGATACTCTGGGTGTCTGTGAATAATCAAGTGCAAAGAAACCTTCACGAGAGCCGGGGATCTCAGTAGGTGCTCAGGTCCAGGTCCCACGAGAGCACGCGCCCGCCCTCCACCTGCAGAGCCCCCGGGACAGAGGGCACCAGCCCAGCTCCCCACCTCCCCGAAGGGCCCACGTGAGGGGCATCTAGTCCAGGCCTGTCCGAGAGCCTCGGCGGGGGGTCCGTCCCACCCGGGCTGTCACAGTCTCCTCCGACCTCAGGGGAGCCGGTGTGTGTCCCCCCCGGGCAGGTCGAGGCCGCCATAAACAGAATGCCACAGACGGGCCTTAAGCAGACACTCACCCCTCCGTCTGCCGGAGGGACTCCAGGGTCAGGCTGGGTTCTGGGGAGGCCCCTGCCTGGTTCATCCTCACAGCCTTTCTGGGGGTGCACACGGTGAGTGGGGCTGACAGATCTCCCCTCTGATCCCAGTTAGAAGAAGAAGCTAATCAGGGCCCCACCCCTGTGACCTCATCTGACCCCCGTCACTCCACAAGCCATCACACTGGGGGTTAGGGTTCCAGCACATGAATTTGGGGGGATGCAGTAAAAAGTCCACAGTAAGGGGGTGAGGGGAGAGGAGGGGGCAGGAAGGGGGCAGAGGGAGAGGCCCCCCGCCCAGGCAGCCCCAGGACTTCCCTGCCCTGGGTGGCATCTGCCTCAGCTCCCTCTCTGATGTGGTTTTGTCCCCTTGCACCCTGGTCCCCTCCTGGCTGCAGGAGGACCTGCCTGGGCTGGATGGTGGTGAAGGGGGTGTGACTTCAGGACAGGCGGAGTTGTGGGCGGTCCCCGGGGATGCTGGCGACGTCAGCAAGAGCAGTGGCTCCGTTGGTTACGGGTCAGCCTCGTGCTGGGACCATGTCCTCCTGGGCATCCCTGCCCCCTGTCCTCTGTGGGAACAGACCCCGAGTTTTATCTGGCCAAGGAATTGGTCTGAATAAAAGGCTACATCTCCTAACCCCCCTCCCTGGCAGCTAAATGGGGCCAAGCAACTGCATTCTGGCTAATGAAATAAAAGAGGAAGTTCTCTGTGAGGCTTTCAGATGGCTGCTTGAAAAATGAGCTGACTTAACTGGGACTCCCGGGAGGGGCCCTTCCTGCCCTGTACTTCCTCAGCCGCCTTCTTCCTGTCCTGTGTTCTTGATGGCGGAGCTCTGGCAGCCACGCTGGACCATGAAGTGGGCACGGAGGCCATGCACTGAGGATGGGGAACAGCGGACAGCAAGCGTCTGGGCCCCTGAGGACACTGCAGAGCTGCCGTGCTTCCCTGGACTTGTCAACCTGAGGCTTTTTTACGTAGGAAAGAAATAAGGCTCTGTCTTGTTTACGCCTCTCTGGTTGGGATGGCTTGTGTGCAGCCAAGCCGAACTGATGGATGCGTATTATTGCCAATAGTCGTCATAACCCTGACCACTCGTCTCCAGAAGAGCAAATGGAGGCTCAGAGAAGTGAAGGCACTTTCTCAGGGTCACACAGCTGGAAGTGGTAGGTAAGCCTTGAGTGCAGAGGGGGCATTCACTCAAGGACACCTTCATGGAAAGACAGGTGGGTGCAGACTCCTAATGTGCCCCTCCTTCCGGCTGGCAGCGTCTGCATTCCAGCATCAACGTGACTCTGACCCCGGCAGCCTGGGGTGCAGATAACATCCTCCTCCTGGCCAAGCGTCCCCACAGGTGGCGTGCACGGGAGCAGAGCCACAGCGGCTCGCCCTGGGGGCTCCTGCAGCTCGCCGGCTGCCCGCTGTTTCTGGGATGTTGGGCAGAGAGAGGGCTGCTGGAGACAAATACCTGTGGAGTCACTTTCCGGCCTCGATGGGCGGGCAGGTTTGGAGGTGCCTGCTGTTGCCGTCACTCTGAAGGGAAGGACTTACCCCACCTGTGCTGTCTGCGCACACCTGGTGTGCGTACATGCTGTGTGTGTGTGGATCGGTTCTGCCCTGGAGCGCCTGCTGCTTCCCACGTCCTCCTGAACCGCAGCCCTGCACCGGAAGCGGTGCCGTCACTGTGCGAAGCCCTCGGAGTCTTGCATCATTCATTCATTCACCTGCATTGAGCACTCGCCTCGTACCAGGCCACTCGCTGAGTGCCAGGAGGAGGCTGGGTGGACGGCAGCTGGGCTCTTGCACAGCCCAACAGTTTGGTGAGGGACATGGAGGGGCTGACTGATGCGTTTGAACCATGGTGATGGAGAAGACTCCGGAGAATCCCTTGGACAGCAAGGAGATCAAACCAGTCAATTCTTAAGGAAATCAACCCTGAATATTCATTGGAAGGATGGATGCTGAGGCTCCAGTACTTTGGCCACCTGATGCGAAGAGCCAACTCTGGAAAAGACCCTGATGCTGGGAAAGATTGAGGGCAGGAGGAGAAGGGCACGACAGAGGATGCGATGGTTGGGTGGCATCACTGACTCAGTGGACGTGAGTCTGAGCAAACTCCGGGAGATAGTGAAGGACAGGGAAGCCTGGAGTGCTACAGTCCATGGGGTCGCAAAGAGTTGGACACGACTGAGCAACTGAATAACAGCGAAGAGAGCAGCTGAGGGCAGATGCAGGACAGCTCTCTTGGGGGCGGTGGGGGGAGGGGCACAAGACCCCCTCCAGCTTCCCAGGGGAACAGCTGTATTCCAGTTGGCTTTGTAAATGGCTGCACATAATCGAGCCTGTTCAATGTCACTGTGACCTGTGCGTTGGTCCTCGTGACCAGAAACAGGAGCCGATGGGAGAGAGAAGCCGTGAAGTTTGCACAGGAGGAGCCCGGAGGCAGCCCCCAGGCCTGGCCCTCAGAATGGCTGGGGATGGGGACAGGGGGCTTGTGGGGGGCCCTGGTCTGGGGGAGAGGCCCGGGGGTCATCTCAGTCCCTGTGACGATGCCTTGACTGGCTCTAGAACACCACTCAGCCCCTCTCTCTGCGCCCAGCCCAGGGCTGGCGACGCAGGGACCCACAGAGCACAGCGCTGAGGCTGCTCTGCGATCCATCCATCTTTCTGTCCACCCACCTGCCTCTCCATCTTCTATCCATCTGCCACCCAGCTTCTCCCTCACTCCCTCCCTTCTCTCCTTCTTCCTTTCTTCTTTCATCCACCCCCATTCCGCTTCCGTTCTTCCATCCATCTGCTCACACCCCATCCATTTATCATTTGTCCATCTGCCTGTCTATCCATCTCCCACACGTGCCACCCCCACCGAGGCCTCTATCCCTCCTTCTTTTCTTCCTTCCACCCTTCCCCAATCCTGCATCCATTACCATCCATCGCTCCATCCAGCAGTGGTCGACAGACCACCTGCGATGCTGAGGCTGGGGGTCAGCCCTAGGCCTGCTCTGCGCACTGGGCTTCCTGGTGGGGAGGCAGAAGCTTCGGATGGTTCCGATGGTGGTAAGCGCGGCTGAGGAAGTGAAACAGAGTGATGGGGTAGGGAGTTGCGGGGTCTCTGAGGGGACCAGGGATCGCTCACGCTTCCATTGTGAGTCCTGAACCCACGGAGAAATGAGGCAGGAGCTGGGCACCTGAACCACTTCTTACCAAGTCTGCCTCCTTCCCGGCACGGCAGGGAATTATTCTGAATTATTATTGTGTGTTCTCAGTCACTAAGACATGTTCGACTCTGTGACCCTAGGGACTGTGGCCCGCCAGGCTTCTCTGTCCATGGGATTCTCCAGGAAAGAATACTGGAGTGGGGTACCATTTCCTCCCCCATCTAAAAGCAATCACAAGTGTCCTTAGAAGGGGGAGAGAGACCAGTCGGAGGAAAAGGTGATGTGACGATGGAGGAAGAGGCTGGAGGTGGAGGAGGGCCACATGGGAGGTGAGGAGGGGGCAGGTGCCTCGGGAAGCTGGGGAGGACACGCGTCTCCCCTGGAGCCTCTGGAAGGAACCTCCCCTGGGATACGGTGACCTCAGCCCACTGAGGCCCCTTTGGACTCCTGATCCATGGACTATAAGAGAATAATTTCATATTGTTTAGAGCACTGAGTTCATGGTCACTTGTTTCAGCAGCAGGAGGAGACGAACTCAGCTGCTGAGACCATTGAGTTAAAGGCTGTTGGGGACAGGAAGTTCACGCTCAGAAAAACACCCCATCACTGACTCACTGACCACAGAGGAAAAGGGGAACTATCGGGTGGGGGTGTCGGGGGACCCGTACCCAAGTGGTGCAACTTAGCATCGCCTGCAAAGGGGCAGCCGGACGTCACATGTCCCCGCGGGATGTCCCAGCATCCCTTAGAGTGTTGGTGCCCCAGCTGAGTTTGACCGTGGCCAGTCCAGATGGTGGTATGTGCTATAGAAACCGGCCTGACCTGTTCAAGGCGGTTAAGGTCATTAAAGGAAAATCAGACACAGGAACCCCAGCACCCAGACTCCATGGATCTCCCTTGTTGGGTCCTGGGTCCAAAAATATGGCCAGAAAGGACATTGGGAGAAGTCTGAGTATTGACTGTGTATTAGGCAATGTTATCGTATCAGTGCTAACTGGTTTTGCAAGTGTGTATGTGTGTACGTGTATGTGATGAGGAAGTATAGGGGTACTCACTATACTATTCTTGCGTCTTTTTTCTAGGTTGTGAATGTTCCTAATTAAAACGTTAGGAAGCCCCTCCCCCAGCTCTAGGCCCAGGGGCTGGTGCTGACCCCGGCGGTGGCCGGTGGTGGTGGGGAGTGGGGGATGGGGGAGTGGGGTGGGGGTGGGGACGCTGCTCCAAGGCTCCTGGTCCCCGTGGATCAGCTTTTCCTCCGGGAAGGCTCCCTGGTTCTCAGGACAGCTCAGCGCACTGAACCCTGCTGTTTCTCCTCCATCCTCGCTGGCCTGCGTCCTTTAGGTTCCGGTTTACTTTTGTGGCCTGGGAGGGTCAATGGCTGTCGTGGGGGTTCCCCGAGGGGCCAGGACACGCACAGGAAGGAGGGTCAGGGTCAAGGCAGACCAGAGTCAGAGGCGGCCCCTGAATTCTGGAGGGAGAATGGGGAGCCATGCCTCCTCCGGGTGGGGATTGGGGGAGCCACGCCCCCTCAGGGTGGGGATGGGGAGCCACGCCTCCTCCGGGTGGGGATTGGGGGAGCCACGCCCCCTCAGGGTGGGGATGGGGAGCCACGCCTCCTCCGGGTGGGGATTGGGGGAGCCACGCCCCCTCAGGGTGGGGATGGGGAGCCATGCCTCCCTGGGGTGTGGATTTGGGGAGCCACGCCCCCTCAGGGCGGGGATGGGGAGCCTCGCCTCCTCCAGGTGGGGATTGGGGAGCCACGCCCCCTCAGGGCGCGGATGGGGAGCCACGCCTCCTCATCGGCCGAGGACCAGGGATGCTGTTAGTGGTGGACGGGCGGGGCCATCCACCTCTATCTCCCCACGCCGAGTCCTCCTGAAGCTGCAGCGCAGGCTCGACTGAGCAGCGTGAGCCTCTCCACCTGCTGACTCCACAGCCAGGGTTCTTTCTCCTCAGCGCTGCCGCTGAGAACTGGGGCCCTGAACATGCCTGCACCATCTGTTTTCCAGTTTAGAAATCTCGGTGACAAACGGCGCGTTGTTACAATGTGGAATTCCTCATCCCAGCAAATTTGACCCAGTGGTGAACTTTGGTGCTTGATGAAGGAGGGAGCTTGGAGCCCAGTGCTCTGCCGGAGAGGCGGGGAGGGGTGCAGTGTCCACACTGCCTGATGGACCAGGGTCTTGTGTTCAAGCTCATCCTCCAGGGCAGACAGAGACCCTGAGGAAGAGGAGGCTATTGCCAGTGGAGCTTTGGCTGCTTAAAAACCCTCAAAACTTAAGTAACTTAAAACATCAGCAACCGGACTTCCCTGATGGTCCAGTGGTTAGGATACCATTCTTAGGACTTCCCTGGTGGTCCAGTGGATAAAGAGTCCGACTGCCAATGCAGGGGACATGGGTTCGCTTCCTGGTCCGGGAAGATTTCCACATGCAGTGGAGCAACTAAGTCCGTGCACCCACCTCCTGAGACCACACTCCGCAACAAGAGAAGCACCGTGGCGGAGCATGGTCCCTGCTCATGCAACTAGAGAAAGCCTGAGCACAGCAACGAAGACCCAGTGCTGTCAAAAATAAGTAAATTAATTAATTAAAAAAAAAGATTCCATTCTTCCAATGCAGGGGGTGCGGGTTTGATCCCCGTTTGGGGAGCTAAAATGTCACATGCCACCCGGTGAGGCCACAGTCAAACACATCAGCGACCTCATTCAGCTCAAGACTCCTGGGCTGAGTGGGCAGCTCCTCCGGTCCCAGCGGGCTGGGCTGGGCTGGGCTCTTCCCTCAGCGGGTGGCACGGCTGGATCTGGGTCGGGTATGTGGCCTCTCTCCTGTGTCTGGAGCTGGGCTGCGGGTCAGCCGGCAGGCGGAGGTGTGAGCGCAAACCCCAGGCTCTGGAGCTTTTCAAGTCTCCTCTGGCATCGCAGGTGCTGATTCCCTTTGGCTAAAGGGGCACGTGGCCCAGCGAGCCACAGGGATCAGAGAAGCCGCCCACTCAGTGGCCGCCCCCACCAGGCACTGCCCGCGTAGCTCCGGCCATAGACACTTCCTCATGTGGAGCCACCTCCTAGACCACCCTCCCCGCAGGGACAACCCCACCTGCCCCTCCGCTTCCTGGCCCCCCTCCCCCTCCCTCTCTCTCCTTCCTTCCCCTCCCCTCGCCAGGTTCCCCACTTGTCCCTCTGGGTTGGGAAGCCCAGTGCCTGCCCTGGGGTGGTTAGCGTGGAAGGAGGGACCCACAGAGCCGGCTTCCCAAGGTCAAATGTGCCCAAGCTCTGGGCACAGCCGCACACAGCCCGACTGTGAGGGGGACGCTCGCTAGTCAGTTGTCAAGCGGCGGGTCCCGGGGACATTCAGGTGTCAGCCCCCTCCTCACCTCCTGCTGTGGCACAAATAGCCCTTTTCCTCCCTCCAGGCACTGCGATGTAGACGGCTGGGCCCCAGGGGTGGCTGGGGTCAGCCTGATCTGGCCGTCACACTTGCTCCAAAGCACCATCAGGGGCCAGGCTGGCCCAGTGCCTCTAGACACACCCTTGGCTTGGTTCCGTCCACTCCAAAACGCTCGCTTGAAGACCAGTGGCCCCATGTAGGCATGGAGGCCAGTATTTATCAGATTGACTGCCCAGGTCGGGGGCTGGGACCCCAGATGGGGGAGGGTCTCTGGAGGGTGGGACCCTGGAGGGACCTGGGGTCGCTGGAGATGCCAAGATGTGTGTGGCTCTGGGTCTCAGCTTTCCCATCAATAAAACCAGGGAACTGGGCCTGGTGGCCTGAGGCCCGCCTCCTAGGTTGAGGCTGTGCCATCAGCTGCGTTTGTGTCTGGAGAAAGCAAACCCAGAGGGGGCTCCATTGGCCTGGGCCTCTCTGTCCACAAGCTGGTCATTCATCAACCTCTCCAACCCTGTTCCAGCCCTTCGTGGGGCCTCTCTGGCCCCCAAGGTGGGAGAATGAGCCTCACCCCACACCCCTCCCGCCCCGGGTGGGGGTGCAGGGTGTACAGGACACAGGCAGGGTGGGGCCCCGGGTGGGCCTGACTGTAGTCTCAGGCCTCTCCCTTGGTTTCCTGGTCTGTAGGTGAGGTTTCCAGGCACCCACGAGGTGTGATGCTGGCTCACACGCTTGTCTGACCTCCCGCCAGGACTTCCAGAGTGAGCAGCCTCCTGTTGGGGCTCAGGCCAGACTCGGATCCTGTGGACAAGCTGCTCCGTCTCGGGAGCAGCTCAGTGGCTAATCCTTGATTTACAGTCGGAAGCACAGAAGTATCTAACAGACGCCTCGGGCCCTTCCCGAGTCTCTCCAGCCAGGCTGGGACCAGCACGCGCAGACTCCCTTGTTGGGCTGCAGGTCAGCGAGGGTCGGTCTGGAGGCAGAGCCAGCTCCCCGTAGCTGCCGGGCACCCCCAGACCCAGGCGTGCAGGACCCTGTCTCACTGGCCCTGCTCTGGGTGCCCAGAGGCTGGCTCGTGGGCGCTGCGTCCGGGAACCCCCAGTCCTGCTCCTGAGGCCCCCAAGTCATAGTGGAGCCCACTGAGGGGTCGCCCTGGGCCGTGAGTTCCCTGACTGGCTCCTGGCGGGGTGGGGGGGGTCCCATGACCCCATTGGGCTGTGCAGGAGGGGGCCTTGTGTCTCCTACCACAGGGGCACCCAGCCCCTGGAAGCCTGCTTGGGGAGACTCTGCCATGAGGGCTCCATGGATGCTGGGCCCAGAGCCCACCCTCGGGGCCTTCAGATCTGAAAGGGGGGCTGCCAGCGGCTCAGCCCCACCCAAACTCATGGTCAGAAAGGCAGAGCCCTGGGGAAACTGAAGTTGCTCAGTCGTGTCTGACTCTTTGGGATCTTCCCAACCCAGGGATTGAACCCGGGTCTCCTGCATTGCAGACAGAGGCTTTACCATCTGAGCCACCTGGAAGCCCGAAGAGCCCTGGGGAAGTAGGCGCCCAACTCGCCGCTGGGACTCAGGGAGGGCAGCAAGGAGAGGAGGCAGGAGAAGGTCCCCCCACCCGACCTCCCAGTTGACCCCCTGCGGCTGCCCAGGCCCCGTGCTCAGACCCTGGTCCTGAGCCCAGGCTGGAGCCGTGCCCTCCCAGGCCCCTCGTGCCTTTGCTATCCGGGCCCCAAACTTACCCACCCTGAGGCAGGGTGCTGTGCGCTGTGCTAAGTCGCTTAGTCACGTCCGTCTCTTTGCGACCCCGTGGACTGTAGCCCACCAGGCTCCTCTGTCCATGGGGTTCTCCAGACGAGAATACTAGAGTGGGTTACCTTTTCCTCCTCTGGGGTCTTGACCCCTGTGCCACCTGCGAAGCTGTTCCCTGCGATGGCAACACCCTTCCCCCAGCTCTTGGCTTGACGACACCTCCTCCAGGTTGCCCTCCCTGACCACTGCAGCCGAACTGGCCACATCCCTTGACCAGAGAGTGGCTGCCTGGCTGATTCCCTGCAGGAAGGCCCCGGATCCTGGAACCCTGTGAGAGCATCAGACTCACAGAAGTGCAGGCCTGGGCGGGAGTTCATAGACCTCGCTGCCTCCCGGGCTCTTCAACCTGCCTGCCAGGTGGTCGGGCGGCTTCAACTAGCACACTTCCAAGGATGGGGAGCTCGCCATCTCTGGGGCCGTGGGTGCCCATGGCCACCGGCTCCACTGGGAGTCTGTCTTCCTGCAGCCCCCACGGCCCTGCCGTGCCCACCACCCACCTCTGC